CTCGTGTCCAACCTCTACTTGTTAGTGTGTGGTGTGGTAACGCTGTCTATAGTTTCCTCGTGTCCAACCTCTACTTGTTAGTGTGTGGTGTGGTAACGCTGTCTATAGTTTCCTCGTGTCCAACCTCTACTTGTTAGTGTGTGGTAACGCTGTCTTTAGTTTCCTCGTGTCCAACCTCTACTTGTTAGTGTGTGGTGTGGTAACGCTGTCTATAGTTTCCTCGTGTCCAACCTCTACTTGTTAGTGTGTGGTAACGCTGTCTATAGTTTCCTCGTGTCCAGCCTCCACTTGTTAGTGTGTGGTAACGCTGTCTATAGTTTCCTCGTGTCCAACCTCTACTTGTTAGTGTGTGGTGTGGTAACGCTGTCTTTAGTTTCCTCGTGTCCAACCTCTACTTGTTAGTGTGTGGTAACGCTGTCTATAGTTTCCTCGTGTCCAACCTCTACTTGTCAGTGTGTGGTGTGGTAACGCTGTCTATAGTTTCCTCGTGTCCAACCTCTACTTGTTAGTGTGTGGTGTGGTAACGCTGTGCTATAGTTTCCTGGTGTCCAACCTCTACTTGTTAGTGTGTGGTGTGGTAACGCTGTCTTTAGTTTCCTCGTGTCCAACCTCTACTTGTTAGTGTGTGGTAACGCTGTCTATAGTTTCCTCGTGCCCAACCTCTACTTGTTAGTGTGTGGTGTGGTAACGCTGTCTTTAGTTTCCTCGTGTCCAACCTCTACTTGTTAGTGTGTGGTACAGCTGTCTATAGTTTCCTCGTGTCCAACCTCTACTTGTTAGTGTGTGGTAACGCTGTCTATAGTTTCCTCGTGTCCAACCTCTACTTGTTAGTGTGTGGTGTGGTAACGCTGTCTATAGTTTCCTCGTGTCCAACCTCTACTTGTTAGTGTGTGGTAACGCTGTCTATAGTTTCCTCGTGTCCAACCTCTACTTGTCAGTGTGTGGTGTGGTAACGCTGTCTATAGTTTCCTCGTGTCCAACCTCTACTTGTTAGTGTGTGGTGTGGTAACGCTGTGCTATAGTTTCCTGGTGTCCAACCTCTACTTGTTAGTGTGTGGTGTGGTAACGCTGTCTTTAGTTTCCTCGTGTCCAACCTCTACTTGTTAGTGTGTGGTAACGCTGTCTATAGTTTCCTCGTGCCCAACCTCTACTTGTTAATGTGTGGTGTGGTAACGCTGTCTTTAGTTTCCTCGTGTCCAACCTCTACTTGTTAGTGTGTGGTACAGCTGTCTATAGTTTCCTCGTGTCCAACCTCTACTTGTTAGTGTGTGGTAACGCTGTCTTTAGTTTCCTCGTGTCCAACCTCTACTTGTTAGTGTGTGGTAACGCTGTCTATAGTTTCCTCGTGTCCAACCTCTACTTGTTAGTGTGTGGTAACGCTGTCTATAGTTTCCTCGTGTCCAGCCTCTACTTGTTAGTGTGTGGTAACGCTGTCTATAGTTTCCTCGTGTCCAACCTCTACTTGTTAGTGTGTGGTAACGCTGTCTTGTGTCTATAGTTTCCTCGTGTCCAACCTCTACTTGTTAGTGTGTGGTGTGGTAAAGCTGTCTTTAGTTTCCTCGTGTCCAACCTCTACTTGTTAGTGTGTGGTAACGCTGTCTATAGTTTCCTCGTGTTCAACCTCTACTTGTTAGTGTGTGGTGTGGTAACGCTGTCTTTAGTTTCCTCGTGTCCAACCTCTACTTGTTAGTGTGTGGTAACGCTGTCTTTAGTTTCCTCGTGTCCAACCTCTACTTGTTAGTGTGTGGTGTGGTAACGCTGTCTTTAGTTTCCTCGTGTCCAACCTCTACTGGTTAGTGTGTGGTAACGCTGTCTTTAGTTTCCTCGTGTCCAACCTCTACTTGTTAGTGTGTGGTGTGGTAACGCTGTCTATAGTTTCCTCGTGTCCAACCTCTACTTGTTAGTGTGTGGTGTCGTAACGCTGTCTATAGTTTCCTCGTGTCCAACCTCTACTTGTTAGTGTGTGGTAACGCTGTCTTTAGTTTCCTCGTGTCCAACCTCTACTTGTTAGTGTGTGGTAACGCTGTCTTGTGTCTATAGTTTCCTCGTGTCCAACCTCTACTTGTCAGTGTGTGGTGTGGTAACGCTGTCTATAGTTTCCTCGTGTCCAACCTCTACTTGCTAGTGTGTGGTAACGCTGTCTATAGTTTCCTCGTGTCCAACCTCTACTTGTTAGTGTGTGGTGTGGTAACGCTGTCTATAGTTTCCTCGTGTCCAACCTCTACTTGTTAGTGTGTGGTGTGGTAACGCTGTCTATAGTTTCCTCGTGTCCAACCTCTACTTGTTAGTGTGTGGTAACGCTGTCTATAGTTTCCTCGTGTCCAACCTCTACTTGTTAGTGTGTTGTGTGGTAACGCTGTCTTTAGCTTCCTCGTGTCCAACCTCTACTTGTTAGTGTGGCAACGCTGTCTATAGTTTCCTCGTGTCCAACCTCTACTTGTTAGTGTGTGGTGTGGTAACGCTGTCTATAGTTTCCTCGTGTCCAACCTCTACTTGTTAGTGTGTGGTAACGCTGTCTTTAGTTTCCTCGTGTCCAACCTCTACTTGTTAGTGTGTGGTAACGCTGTCTTTAGTTTCCTCGTGTCCAACCTCTACATGTTAGTGTGTGGTAACGCTGTCTATAGTTTCCTCGTGTCCAACCTCTACTTGTTAGTGTGTGGTAACGCTGTCTTTAGTTTCCTCGTGTCCAACCTCTACTTGTTAGTGTGTTGTGTGGTAACGCTGTCTATAGTTTCCTCGTGTCCAACCTCTACTTGTTAGTGTGTGGTGTGGTAACGCTGTCTTTAGTTTCCTCGTGTCCAACCTCTACTTGTTAGTGTGTGGTAACGCTGTCTTTAGTTTCCTCGTGTCCAACCTCTACTTGTTAGTGTGTGGTAACGCTGTCTATAGTTTCCTCGTGTTCAACCTCTACTTGTTAGTGTGTGGTAACGCTATCTTTAGTTTCCTCGTGTCCAACCTCTACTTGTTAGTGTGTGGTGTGGTAACGCTGTCTATAGTTTCCTCGTGTCCAACCTCTACTTGTTAGTGTGTGGTAACGCTGTCTTTAGTTTCCTCGTGTCCAACCTCTACTTGTTAGTGTGTGGTGTGGTAACGCTGTCTATAGTTTCCTCGTGTCCAACCTCTACTTGTTAGTGTGTGGTGTGGTAACGTTGTCTATAGTTTCCTCGTGTCCAACCTCTACTTGTTAGTGTGTGGTGTGGTAACGTTGTCTATAGTTTCCTCGTGTCCAACCTCTACTTGTTAGTGTGTGGTGTGGTAACGCTGTCTTTAGTTTCCTCGTGTCCAACCTCTACTTGTTAGTGTGTGGTAACGCTGTCTATAGTTTCCTCGTGTCCAACCTCTACTTGTTAGTGTGTGGTAACGCTGTCTTTAGTTTCCTCGTGTCCAACCTCTACTTGTTAGTGTGTGGTGTGGTAACGCTGTCTTTAGTTTCCTCGTGTCCAACCTCTACTTGTTAGTGTGTGGTGTGGTAACACTGTCTATAGTTTCCTCGTGTCCAACCTCTACTTGTTAGTGTGTGGTAACACTACGTCTTTAGTTTCCTCGACTTGTCACTCAGATTCAGTTGATGAAGCTTTAAACTTTAAATAACTTCATTCTGAAACAGATGTATTTCTTCAGCCATCGTCACGAGTTGGCTTAAAAAGCCACCCTTCCCCTCGCTCACACTCCCTTAAAATTATTTTTAAAGTTCAACATATTTTTTGTTCCAAATGACCACGTCACGCTTTCTTAGCTCGCACCCAGTAGCGTAGCGATGGGGGGGGGGGGGGGGGGGGGACGACGACATATGTCCCCGGGCGCCGACCTTAGGGGGCGCCAAAATGGGTTGGAAAATACATTTAAAGGTTGACGGGGGGTGCAAATCGAAAGTTTGAGGGGGGTGCAAATCGAAATCTTGAAGGGGGGGGGGTGCAAATCAAAAGTTTGAGGGTGGGGCGCAAATCGAAAGTTTGAGGGGGGGGGGGGTGTAAATAGAAATCTTGAGGGGGTGCAAATCGAAAAGTTTGTCCCCGGGCGCCGGGAATGGTCGCTACGCCTCTGCTCGCACCTATCCTGCTTGACACAAAAATTTCCCCAGGAGTGACGTCACAAGAAACCTCTAAATATTGAGATAATAATATGACCATTTACCATTATATTTTTCCAGATGTTGCTATGGTTCCCCCCCCCCCTCCCCCTTTTCTCCCTACACACACACACGAAACAAAGATAACAAATAAGTGTCCTCTAAAAATGCCTTGTACCACTCTATGTGTGGGCATATAATATATATATAGGATTTTTAAAAATAAGTCTTATCCCTTAGAAAAGCAGCATTAGGAATCACCCGTCTGAGTTTCTTTCAGATATTTTTCTCCGGGTCAGGGGCACTTGAAACTTTCGAGAGGGGGGGGGGGGCTTAAATTACCTGGCGTAGGGGTAGACATGGGTTAAAGTAGGCCTCTAATTTTCTGTACAAATTATATTTTTCCCATTTAGTTTTCGTGGGGGGGGGGGGGGGCGGGGGGCGGAAATAAAAGTTTTGCATAAAGGTAATCGGTATATAAAGCTTAAGGTTATGTTTCCTTTCCATTTATTTGGTTTTACAAGCACACTAGATCTAGATCCATTATGTATCTAGGCGGGCGATGGTGCGGGCAGTGGGAGAGAGTGTGGAAATGAACATTTCATTAGGCCTAATTATGGATGCTAAAAAAATTACGTTTTAAAATATAATAATGACTCTTTGTTTAAACTTTGAGCTTTGTAGTTTACTGCTTTAAACTGAAAGACAAAGCCAACTTCACGGAACAAAATGCGCTAAATGCTAAAGTATAACCGATAGCATATTTACGTTAACTTTTCCTACATCGCCTGCTGGCTTGCACCAAAATTGCCTACAGTTGTACAAACCACCGCTAAAGTTCAAGGCACGTCTCAAGTCGGTTCACAAAGTCACGTGACGAAGGGAAAAAAATTATAGAAACGAGGGTGTGCTGGAGTGTTTACGTTCAGGGGTGGAGCGGAGGAACACTTGTTGCTTGAATCTTCAGGTGGTACACGGCCCAGTAGCAAGCAAGCACTTCAGTGTTGACCGTGTGAAAATTTTTCATTCTTCCAACTCTTGTTGTGTCACATACCGTGTGAAACCGTCTTTACATACATTTGCTGAGCTGCTAATGGATGCATTAGTAGCGTTTACACCTCCGTGTTTAATAGTAGTAGTAGCTTATCATTAAATTTTAAAAGTTTTGTTAATGATTTTTTTTCAAAAGTGTGTGGAGTAAGCGCAGTCAGTCAGGTGACCTAGCATTCCAGTTATGGGCCATAACTAATGGGTCAACTCCCGTGTGAAAAAAAACTATAGCCAACATTTTGTTTTATTCACAAGTTCAAACGGATTTAACAACAATGAATGACAAGCGGCTTTGATTTTGGATTATGAACTGATTAAGCGTTAAAGTGTTACACTAAACTACTGGGAAAAAAAGGGGGAAAATATAAGTATATAAGCATCGCCTTTGCCTTTGCTGCTTCGCCGCTAGCCTAGGCTAAGGCCTTAGCAGAGCTGTTCGCCTCAACGTAAAGTGACCTAAGTCACAAGTGATTATACTACATTCATAATGATGATGGGATATCTGCAATTCGTATGTGTAGGCCTGTTTGTTCTTATGACTGGATGCCTAAGCAATTTTGTGTGTGACCATTGCAACTGTCAAATAAGGTAAATATAATTAGGGTCTATTAGGGGGCCTATTATTTAATATATTATAATAGTAGGCCTATATATACTAGGCTATAGTAGGCCTATAATATTAATATAGGGCCCTATTATGTAGGCAATAGGCCTGTACTCTATATTATACTGCCTAATATAAAATTTTAAAATTGTTAATATAATTATTATAATAGCCTTTTTGGCTTTGCAAGGCATCGGCCTTTTTAATTAACTAGATCTAGGTCTAGATAATCTAGACATAGTCCAGCTTATGATCTTATAAAGACTTAACATTATACATTGAAGTCACTAGATCTCTAGTGGTACACAACATATTAATTAGTTCTGTTTTACTTAAATAAGTGAATCCCAACTTTTTAACATCTTAGTCTTAAGGCCTGTGATATCTGGTCCTAAGTTGGCTACTGATAGTCATTTGTCACTGATGATGTCATTATCACTGTATAATTTTTTTTCTCCACCAGCTCACAGAACAAGCCCCAGGCCGTGTACAACCTTGCATTGGTGTGCAACACTGGAACTGTCACTTGGTTTGATGCCTTTGGTGCCATCCGCCTCAACATGACCCCTTTCCTTCGAGGGATGTTCAAAGCCTGCTTCTTGGCTGAGTCTGAAAACTCTTACGTTCAAGTTGCACAGGAAGTTCTTTCACGAAAATCTAACAAAACTGGAACTCTGAGATTCAATCCCCTCGTGAGCTCAGGTGTTAAAAGGCAGGAAATGTGCTTTAAGTGGAACACTGATCGGAAACTTGTTCTGTATTTAGAAGCCATTAAGATCCCTGGGGTCAATGCTGTGCCCAAGATCAACTTTCATTATGATTTGGAAAAGTTACAATCTCAACACTTGTCTGATGGTAAGATTATAAAATTAGGCTCACACACCAGTTAAAAACTTAGGTTCACACATCAGTTAAAAACTTAGGTTCACACATCAGTTAAAGACTTAGGTTCACACATCAGTTAAAAACTTGGTTCACACATCAGTTAAAGACTTAAGTTCACACACCAGTTACAGACTTGGGTTCACACATCAGTTACAGACTTAGGTTCACACATCAGTTACAGACTTAGGTTCACACACCAGTTACAGACTTAGGTTCACACATCAGTTACAGACTTGGGTTCACACATCAGTTACAGACTTAGGTTCACACATCAGTTACAGACTTGGGTTCACACATCAGTTACAGACTTAGGTTCACACACCAGTTACAGACTTAGGTTCACACATCAGTTACAGACTTGGGTTCACACATCAGTTACAGACTTAGGTACACACATCAGTTACAGACTTAGGTTCACACACCAGTTACAGACTTAGGTTCACACACCAGTTACAGACTTAGGTTCACACACCAGTTACAGACTTAGGTTCACACACCAGTTACAGACTTAGGTTCACACATCAGTTAAAAACTTGGTTCACACATCAGTTAAAAACTTAGGTTCACACATCAGTTAAAAACTTAGGTTCACACATCAGTTAAAAACTTGGTTCACACATCAGTTAAAGACTAAGGTTCACACATCAGTTAAAGACGTAAGGAAGGTTCACACATCAGTTAAAGACGTAAGGAAGGTTCACACATCAGTTAAAGACTTAGGTTCACACATCAGTTAAAGATGTAAGGAAGGTTCACACATCAGTTAAAGTTTGGGTTCACACATCAGTTACGGACTTAGGTTCACACATCAGTTTAAAACTTAGATTCACACATCAGTTAAGGACTTAAGGAAGGTTCACACATCAGTTAAATAGTTTATTGAATATGATGAGATTTTAATTGCAGTTTTTTTTTATTGTTAAAACGTAAAAGGACATCTGGTCAAAATTCAATTTGTGGTTATTATATTTTTATTTTAGAACATATATTGAAAAGTTGTCACTTTCCCTCACGTCTTTCATGAATTAGATCTTGTACCCAATATTCCAATATATTTTATAAATAAATCTCAATACTTTGCTTGAATAATTAGCAACTAGAAATATCGTACATGTTCTGGCAAAAATAATACACAGGTATATTTACAGTTAAATAATTCAGACTTAACAACTAGCAAAAAGTCCGTTAAACTTGTATTTAAAAAAAGTATTACCTTATACAATATGTTAGGTAAAGGCTGATGTTGTGCAAAATATGACCCAAAGTTAATGTTGTATTACTGTTCTTGTGACATAAGGAGAGCAGGTCACTAATGATAAGTTTATTTTTTCAGATTGCAGACCTTGTACAAAAGATGAACTTCTTGATTCCTATTGTTCAATGGACTTTGGTAAGTTCCGGTCATTGAGATTAAAAAAATAGGTTAGGTTAGCCTGTCACCTTCGTGCTGACAGGAACTTTCCAGGCACCTCTGTCCTGTACTTGTCTCTCCAGCTGTTCTCAAAGAAACTATTTTAGCAACTCTATATGGGGTATAAATTGTCTTATTACAGTTAATATTATCATTTTTTACAAACAAAATTTTGAATGCATTTTTTAACTTTTCTGAATGTGTAGATCTGTTTCTGCATACTGATAAAAGAAACAGGTGTTACAGTTTAGTTTTAATTTGTCTGATCTGCTTGACTTTTATACAAGTTGTACCATATTTTAAAACTTTCATTATTATTTTTTTAATCACATTCCATTTTAGTTGTGATTGGAAGTATAGCTGATGTCAGCCATAACCAGTTCTCTGAGGTTTCCAATCTGACCTTAAACATCAAGCAAGTTATCCACCAAACAGAAGAGAGTTACTTCAAGAGAGTTAAAAGATCAGATAAAGATTTGACTGGATTTGTGACTGTGCCCAAAAAATGTCAGATGAATAAAGTTTCGGGAGATTTCTTTGTGACGGGTCGTCATAGACTGAACTCTTTAACGCTAGTGTGCATAACTCACCTCCATGACTGGAGAGCGATACAGCACGAGGTGGAGTGCTCACATTAGTGACATGTTGTGATAACTTGGGTCTTTTCAAACTGTGATGTTTTGTATAGAGACAGGAAATTGAGATGCTGGTCAGATTGTGTCCAGAGTATTTGAAGCAAGTGACAATCTTTATCTGGGCTTGTCATGTTCAATGTTTCATGACTGTAGCTGGTCTGGTTGTGTGATGAAGTGTGGGTAAGGTCATGACTCTAGGTCACATGTATACAAGGGTAAGGTCATGAAACAAATATGTAAACATATGTATACATTGGCTAAGGTCATGACATAAGGTCACATGTAACATGATGTATACAGGGATAAAGCCTTGATACCACAGTCACATGTATACAGGGTAAGGTCATGACATCAGGTCATTGTAAACAAATCATGTATACGGGCTAAGGTCATGACACGGGTCACATTTAGACAGATCATGAATACATCATGATTGTCTAGTAGCTGTCCATTTCAACAAAGCAATTATGCTTTAGATCACCACATATGAACCAGTCATGTTGTGGGTTCTACTCTATGAACTGTTGGTCATCAAATTTGAGTTGTTTTTTTAGGTTAATCCAGGATTTAGTAATGTTGTAGTTGTAGATCACCATATTATGAGTCAGCCATGTTGTGAGCCACCAAATTATGAGCCAGTCATGTTGTGAGCCACCAGTATGTTAACACAAGAGCCAGTCATGTTGTGGGTCACAATTTATGAGCCAGTCTTGTTATATCCTTATTGTTAATCCCTCACTTACATAATTTATGCACACTTACTAAAACGGGAGAGTATCATACTTTGTATTATTACATAATATTATATCACAGTTATTTTAGTGGACATGACATAATTTTTTTTTAAATATACACCATTAACTTACAGTAAAATATATTTACTTTTTTTTCCCCCTGATAAACTGGTTAAAAGGTAGTTTTATTATGTCTAAACAATTGGTCAGTTTGTGTAAAAAGTTAACTTTTTTGTGTCAAAGAGCTAAAATGGCAAAAAGAAATCATTTGTTTCTTTGTGTAAATAATAATTTATTTTTTTACTAACTTTTTGTGATCACTCTATGACCAAATCTGGCAATTGGAATGTGAATTCTATTTATTTATGCAAGCAATTGTATGTATGTTTTAACTTAATGTTTTAATAAACTTGACCAAAACCTACAGTGTAGTCTTTTTATACTTTGACATTGGTGTGTTGGTAGTTTAAAGTTGGGCTCTAAGCCTAGCCCTATGCCTGGGTTGTACTTCTGTGTCGTACAGCTAACATACTCTATGTGTAAGGTATATGTAGGCTATATAAGCATCACATGCTGTGGTATGTTATCTTGCGTTTAGAGAAACCCAACATAAATGTCATTCAACTATTTCCCTTCTAGCAGCTAAATGAATGCATTGTTGTATTGTAGGGAGAGGTGGGGTGGCGGTGGCATGCTTTACGTCTGCAATGTTGAAACCCTCTACAGCATAGTGCACAATGTAGACCATGATATATCGGCTACATTGTTTCACATGCTAAGTATAATAAAGCCTTGTGGAATACAAATGTCATTCAAACTATTTCCTTAACTCCCAACTAAATGATAAATGAATGCTTTGTTTCAGTGGGGGTTGTGGTGCATGTTTTATGTCATTATAAATATTAAATAATGTCTTTAAGTTTAAACACAACACCCAGGTTCTCATGTAAGACATTAATCAAGTCTGCTTGTCTCTCCCACTGACGTCAGCTGCAAAATCCTGCCTCGTTCTCCCCAGCATCAAGGACCACGTAAACAGCTGAGAATCAGCTCAAAAAAAAAAAAAAAAAACGTTTAGCCGGTTAAAAAAAAATAAATGTGCCAAATCCGCCGAAATCTTTCCTCTCGCTCCAAGCTTATCAGGAACAATCACACGGTCGGCGACAATGCTCTTTGTTTACTAGCGAGGGTTATCTTCCCTTGACGTCTGCAATGAAAAGATTCGCGTCGGACAAAAATGTTTTTGTTCTCAACTTCTCACCCCTGGATTTTCTTTCGCTAAGTTTTAAAATTATATTCATCATTCTAGATCAAATTTAAATTAAGTAGCCTAATTTAATTAAAGTTAAGTACTTGCAGGCCTAGACACTTATAGATGTCTAAATTTAGTTTGAGGCAAATGCCTCATTTAAAAAAAACAATTAAAAAAACAACAACACCGATAGACTCTATTTTCAAGTTGAGTAGTTTCTTGTCGGCCGGTCTAAGTATCGAGTTTCCTTAGTCATTCCTCCGTGTTGGAATGTGTTGGAAAGGACTTTTTATCAAATGTGAGAAGAAATGTTATCCAGCTAACAAGAGGCCCCGACGACCAGACGGCCTACACGTGGGTCGTGGTGTGGGTACAGTCACATCGTCTGCACGTGCTGCTGCCCGCGTTCAACAGACTGACTCTTGTTCTGTAGGTCTATCGCTAGTCTTAAGTTGGAATGACTTTTTTTTATTCAAAGAGGGCGACTTATAACCAATGTCCCCTCTAAGCTGCGCGCAGTGTTTCTTCCAGATATTTTTCTCTGGGGGGGCACTTGAAATTTTCGGGGGGGGGGGGGGGGCGGACACTGGTAAAAGTATATATTTTCTATATAAATTTCTGAGCCCCCCCCCCCCCCCCCCCCCCCGAAGAGATGCCTGGGAGAAACTCTGGTTGCGCGGCCGCGCAGTAGTTTTGAGATGCCGCGCAGTCATTTTGTGAAATACATATGCCTTTGTATAAGACTTTAAGAACACCACGCAAACATAATAAACTTTGCACACTAGCTTTTTCCCGTTAGAGGGAACATTGCTTATAACTTGCTCAGTGGGCAGACACGGCTTACATGGACATTCAAGCAGTTTTAAACTGCGGTAGTCTAGATCTATCTTGTTTCACTAATGAAATATTGCGACAGGGGTCATCATTAATCAAAGTCACGCTTTTATAAAAGATTTTTGTCCGCTTGCCCTATCGTTACAAAAAGCTAGACCTCCCTACCCCATAAAATGACGCCAGCTACAATACCATTAAAAAAACTTCGAATTTTTTTTTTTAAACAATGACTTCTGTCTAAAAGTCTTTAAATAAAAACACGAAATAACGGCTAAAATTAAGCTTTTAACATTATTTTTTTAAATGCACAAGTGTGTCGTAACACTTTCTGAAGACCCCCTCCCCACATCACAATATTCCAAGTCCTCTCTCCAAGGAATGTGACGCCGATATAGACGTCCCCCTAAATTTGGGAACGACCAAATAAACTTACGTGGATTCGGGCTTTAGGGATGAGCGTGAGGTAGTCAGAAAGTCTGACGTCACACTTTTAAATTGAAAAATAAAAAAGTAAATATTTTGTAATTGAAATACTTTCGAGTTTGTGTGAAATTGATTGGCACACCATTTGTTGACCCAGCTCATTTAATATTCTAGACCAAATATCCTAGAAACGGGACATAGAACAGCCATTGCCATTTAGTGCGTCCTTTCAGACGAGTTATTACTGGATTCACTGACTTACAGCACACAGAAAAATCAACAAGTTACCACTGGATTTACAAAACATCAGACTGACAGCATACAGAAAAATAAACTGAGAAACATGGAAACAGTTTTCTAGAGGTTTTTCTTTGGAACTTTTATTAAAATAATTTATATTGCACAAATTCCAACAGCAAAAAAAAAAACATCCATCTAAAAGAAGCATTTTGTTACAGACAATATCCAATCTATACAAAATAGATTCTACAACACATAGCTTATGAGTAAGTTACTGATAGGGTATATGTAACCCTGTAGGTGGCAGTGTAAAAAAAACTTTTTATTGAGCGCACTGATTTCATGTAATACACCAGAAAGCATGAATCTTAATAAAGATTGAATGCTTTATCAGAAATATCAATCTTTGTAAAAAAGGATTGTGTGTGCTTCAGATTGCACCAAATCAAACTGTGATAGACACCCAACCAGACCCATCTGAGGGTATTCGTCATGTTCAGCCCAACACAGTTTATTGTTGTCTTGTCTTAGATTGTCAAAAGTTAGGACCAAAATATTTTTTCCCTCACAGTGAAAGACGCCAGTTGAAACACTGAGGTGGGCAAAATACAAGCTGGCAAGAGTATTTCAAGTTCAACAATGATGTGCTCGGCCCACTAGTTGGCCCAATAATGATGTGCTCAGGGCCACTAGTTGGCCCAACAATGATGTGCTTTAACTAGGGCCACTAGTTGGCCCAACAATGATGTGCTCTAACTTGGGCCAGTAGTTGGTCATTGGCCCAATAATGATGTGCTCTAACTTGGGCCACTAATTGGTCTAACACTGATGTGCTCTAACATTGGCCCATAACGTTGTGCTCATACTGAGCTACTAGTAGGTCCAATGATGTGCTCTAACCTCAGTCCAAGAATGAGTGCTCTAACAAGCCACTAATTGGCCTGGTCAGGAACTAGCCAAATTTAAGTCCCTGACTACTGGTCAGTAAGGGCCAGCATAGCGGCTTGCTGTTTGTAAGTGACTGTGATGCTTGCTGGGTGCTGCTCCCATGGTTCTCCGTCAACTTGCATGGGGGCGTTCTTGTCCAGTAGGGTTATCTAAGGGACATAAGCCAAAAATTGTACAGAACTAAGGGAAATAACTCAAGACTAATAGCGTGTAACTGACAGGTTACTCAACATTATTATGGACTACAATGGCCTTACTAGGTCAAACGTTAAGAGTGTGATTACACAGGGTGTCATCCCCATCAAATATATTTAATAATATTAAGACTCAATATTAAGTAGACCTATATAAGGAACAAATTAAAACAGATGTATTGTTCTATTAATTTTTAAACTCTTATCATAATGAATAAAGCATGTTTTCAAATAATTCGTAATCTAATGCTTACATGTTTTTTTAATATAGTGGAATATTTTTTGATGGATGAACTTCCATCTTAGATATTTCTCAGTTCCATGGAGTTAAAAAATTTAAGTAAGGATGGTAACATTTTTTAGAACATCCTTAGCTAGTTAATGTATCTTTTTACTTAGTATTTCCTTTTGTTGCATTACTGTTTACTCAATGCTTTGTCAAACATTACAGCACATAGGGCTAACTTAACATTGCAGTTCCCACATATTTCTAGTGGTATGACTTTAAGTTTTACCTCATCACCACTACACCATGTCTTCTATGAATGCAGTGTTGTTTCATGAATACTTGCTGCATTACTCATCAAGAGAGTTGTTAACCTTCTGAGTTGCTGACACTTACCTTAACTTTTTTTGCCTGCCCAAGCCTAAGTGGAGTGGCCAGACCAATTTGCAGTTGGGCAATATGAAATGAAGAGAAGAGGCCCATAACCTCCAACATCCCATCGTCATACCTGTGGCAGTACAGAGAAGATGGTCAAAGGTTAATTCTCATTTCTTCTAATATATGCAGGAGAATGTGCTAGCTAGACCACTCTCTGTTGAAGTCTTGAGTTTGGTTCTCTGGCACTCATACAAAAGGTGTCCCTGAGTCCACCGAGCTCTGATGGGTGCCTGACTTTTTTGGTAATGTAGATATGTATCTATACCACATAATTTTACCTAAATTTTTACCTGATAACACTATTTAACTATGTAGGTATAGCTACATCTCATCATACAATTAAAAAAAACATGGTAATCTGACCTTGGTTTTTGAAACTCCTCAGCTTGACCCCATGGTCTACAGCCCCCACCCCAGCAGCTTATGTTAAGTACAACAATCCCCTCCAGCTCTGGGAGACTAATTTCTTTATCATCTAGTTCCAGCTGAAAGTTGCAGAACAAAATCTATCATTATTTAGCACTACTGTAATTATTAGTTTCAAAGTCAAGAAGTTTTAAATAAAAGTTGCAGAACAAAATCTATCATTATTTAGCACTACTGTAATTATTAGTTTCAAAGTCAAGAAGTTTTAAATAAAAGTTGCAGAACAAAATCTATCATTATTTAGCACTACTGTAATTATTAGTTTCAAAGTCAAGAAGTTTTAAATAAAAGTTGCAGAACAAAATCTATCATTATCTAGGTTACCTGTTCATTGTCAATGGGTTTTTTTTTTAAAAGTTGTGGAGAAAAAAGTTTAACGACTTAAAAATAATGTTTGTCTGTCTTCACGTTATGTGGGGAAAAAACTTCAGAATTTCAATATAATAAAATATTGAAAAGCTCCAGTTTAATGAAAATGAAGTTTGTGTTTTTAAACTCATTTAACTTACCTGTATTCTCTTGTGAAGGTCCTTACATTCTCTTTCCAAAACATCTTTTGTTCCATACGTGAAGTAACAGAACTATTTTTTTAGAGAAAATATTTTTATAATGGTATAAATAGTAGGTTATTATTTTTAAGAATCTTTACTCATTTTTATTAAATACCTATAAAAAAACAATTATTTCAAGTTATGAAATAAAAACAAGACAGATTTACCTTGTTTATTAGACGATGAGTAAAGAAAGCTGGCCAGCTCTCACGTTTCTTGTGAAATTTTAAGGTAACAAGTGCATCCACCCCCACAGAAAGATAGTTGTTCATAGTGTATGTCTATAGACAGATAATACAAAGGTTTTATCATATCTGATAATGTATTCATACACTATGGAAACATAAATGTTAGTTTCAACAATATAAAGTCAATAAGATACAGTTTGACTTTTTTAGTTGTGCAGTTTTGACACATCTTTTTTTTTTAAGTAAAAAAAAAAAATTTCTCAATAAATAGTCATATTCTACCATTATAATTTCAAATCAATATATTCGTAGGAAAAAAGGCTAACTTCAAACCTTGGAAGGTCTAGATATGCCAAAGTGTTTCTTGTGTAGAATTCTGACTGTCCATCTGTCTAACTCAACTGGTTTTGCCTTTTCCACATTTTCTAAAATACATCTAACATTTACATTCCCAGAATATCCTTCACCCCAGCCAAGCACTTGAGACAGGTCGTTCCCAGTTCCAAGAGGGAGAATACAAACACGTGGAGGATTCTGATGAAATGGTTTTCAAAATTATGCAGGTTACATTGTTCAAAGTTTAATTTTTTTTATTGCAGGTAATTTATATATTGCTTTCCAATATTGTGATCATAATAATTAATCTTATTGGAACTATTAGACTACAAAAGACTATTTAGCAGAGTCTTTAAAAATTAAATGTTGATGTGTTCTTAACTTTAATGAATGTTTCAAGTAAAAGACTTTTTCTTACTAGAATGTTTTAGAATATAAACTGTGAATAAAAAACTAGTTTCTTACCATGATTGAAAGTTTTTCTATAACATTCAGTACCCAGCCAATGGTCCCATCACCACCACAGACTAGAAGACGACAGGTAGGTAGTAGACGACACCATTCTAACGCTTGCTCAGGCTGGATATCCTGAATATCTATCACCTAAACATTGAACATTTATTTAAAATTTGACAACAGTCCGTCTAGTCTGTTTGCCATATTTTCTTGAATACATTTAGCAGTATGTAAGAACTACCTATACTGAGCTTGCTCAAAAAACTTTTTTTTTAAAATGATGGTCAATAAGGCAAATGTAGTTCAATTTAGTTAGACCTCCGTTATCTTAAAGGCTTAGTCAGCATTATGCCCATCTGCCTTTACCTTCTCAGACTCAAGTATACATTAGAGCTGTGTGGACTTAGAGATGTCCAACAAATTGTGAACCGAACTTGAGACTATTGACTTAGCAGCACGTTGATTAACCTTGCAATACACCACCACCTACTCATCAGATTTAAGCAAAATTGAATCAAGTATTGTTCAACTCACCTGTGCAGGATTTAAGTACTGCCTAAAGTGTCTAAGAATGAGCAGTCCGTCATTGCTGCCACTTTTCCTATTGGCTATAACTATGAGTGGACTCCAGTCTTCTATAGGTGGACGCTTAACATTCTCAACCACTAGATGTTTGTTTCCTTTCACTCCCACCCATTTGACTTGAATACAATTAGGAGGTATAATAAACTTTTTAAATTGACCCAGATCACAAATGTCAGTTTTCTCAGCACAGTTGTCGTGAGCTGTGTTTCTACACCAAGCACACTGTAGATCAACAAGTGCCATCTCCACCCCACACTCCTGTTTACACACCATACACAGGCTGAAAGCTGGAAGATTGCCTCGCACCCAGTGGTGGCGAACTATTGTTTCATCTGTGGATGCTGCTTTACATGGAATTTTTTTATTTGCCTCGTTCATATTTTTATCTCCAACACACACCCCACAAGTATCACACTGGGCTCCATGGGTTAACGCTATTTCCTCAATGTTGCAATATGTTCTTGAGTTAAACATGTCTACCATATAAAAACGATGGCCTTTATTTGATTCTCTGATAGGCAGTGAGTAATGCTGCAGCCTATTTTGTCGAAACCAAGACATTAAATATGCCACAAGAACAAGCAATGATATCATGATGAAGAGTGACCATATGAAATCATCCATCTGAAATTTCATGAAAAATAGTTTTTGTATTTTATTTACTTTTAATAATTTAACTTTTTAAAAACATGACAGTTTCATATGTTTCAGTGTTGTTAGTAGATTAACACTAATAAACTAATATTTAAATAAAATAAATAATATGCTAACATTAACATAGACAAGGTGATTCCCCAAGTATGAAAATTTGTGAAAACAGGAAAAATTAAGATGTTAAATTTAAATAATATTGAATATTTTGAACACCTTTTAATTTCAAATAGGCTGCTGATTGTGATGAGTTGCTTTCAGTTTTATTTATTTCTTATTTTAAAAATATTTTAGTAATGTAATAGTAATAATAATAATAATATGTCATGTACGCTTAGATCTAGATTCTATAGAATCTATATGACTTGTGACTAAAGTTTAAGTTAAGTTTAGGCTACTACAAATAAACACTGCAGGCTTTACTTCATAAACAGATTACTGTTGCTGGACATCAATGAGGTTATATTTTTTTGCGCACTCTGACTCACGTTGCTGGCTCATTCAGTAACTCCGGCAGTACTCAACTTCATGTCATGTACGGGATCTAGACTTCAGCTTGTAGTGCTGCTTGTAGTGAGTCATGTTTCAATTCAAAGTACCAAGTTAATGCTGTTTATTATACTTGGTTAAAATGTCTTAAGAATAAATGAATGAAAAATACTAAGTTTATTTTAAATACGGTTGATACTTTATAAATCAGATCTAAACGTTTAACAGTTAAACTTAAATGTTTACAGTTTACAAATACCACGGATACGGCAGTTGGTCCCGCTAATCGCCGAAATCCTAAAATTGTCTAGATTTAGATCGATATCTATTTTCCTCGATTTTGTTTTTTGTGTTATTAATTAAAATAATTTGTAAACTTATACAATAGATTAGAATCTAATTTAGAATTTAGATAGTATTAGATACCAATATCAGTATCTTATCTCATGGTAACATTTTTTTAAAAGTTGTACTTGTAATTCTCATTTTGGATTCATGTTATCTCATCTGTGAACGTTATTAATATTATTATTAACTTAATAATTCACATTTAACAGGGCAGTGTTTCCTCCAGACTTTTTTCTCCGGGGGGGGGGGGGGGCGCGGACACTGATAAAAATACTTTTTTTTTCTATATAAATTCCATTTCGCTCGGGGGGGGGGGGGCGGAGAAACTCTGGCCCAGGGTTTCATCCAGCCAGGCATCTCTTCGGAGGGGGGGGGGGTCCACCTCGAAAAACTACGAAATATATAGTCTCTACTTTTACCAGCTCCCCCCTCCTGAAAATTTCAAGTGCCCCCCCCCCCCCCCCCCCGAGAAAAAGTCTTGAAGAAATACTAGTTAGTTCCTATCTATTAAAATGGTAATTAGGATGTTATAGGCCTGTATTGCCAGAACGATGTTATGAAAAGTTCTTAAATAGATCTAGAGGTAAGTTCCAATGAGGAAAAGGGTACACAATAAGTAACGTACATAGAGTTACTTCAAGATATTATTATATTCAAGATCCATATAGCGGAAATTGCATACATAATCCCACTTTAAGATTAATTTAAGATGCCTTTAAAAAAACTTTAAAGAACATTTTAGTGACTCGATACGTCGACATTTTTGCAGTTTACTCAGTAATCCAGGTCTAATGTAAGTAACCTACTAAGCCGATGCACGAGAAGCTTACCTTTACTTTTAAACAATAAACATCATTAGCGACCAAGCACTACTGTTCACGCCGATTGCTCTCTGTTAAACCAACTTCAGACCAGGGTATTTATAGTCAACATTCATTAGCCGGGTAGCGCCTGTCGTAGAGCGCCACAAAAACTAAGAAAGATCGGAGAATGATATCCTAAACCTATCGCTATTGAGATGTGTAATTCTATGCGTATCGGCGCCCGCAGTAGAGACCGTTCAAAAAGAATGCCAGGCGATTTTTAAATTCCGAAATAGTGCAGGTGCCGGTGATTATTTTATATATCTAAGTCTGATATTAATGATAGTGTCAAATAATTGTAGCTTCAAAAAAGTATAGGCATCTTCTTGTTTCCTTTAATCAATAGTGGCAGAGGTTTTTTTCCATGCTTATCCGGGTGTGTTCGTGTGCTCTGTTTTGTAGATATTCTCTTTGTGATATTATTGTACAGTAACGTTTTATATTGCTTTCGAATTAGGAACACCTTAAATGGGGATGATAGTATTTAATATACAAAATCCAAAATTCTGTCTGCAAACAGCTACACCATTAATTGTCCTCTTGCACGAATTTTGAGTGACGACGAAGACATGTCACTGTGCCACATAGGCAGTGGCGTAGCGAGGTCGGGTGTCACCCGGTGCGGTACTTAATGGTGCGTACGCCCCCCCCCCCTCAAACTTTCTATTTGCACCCTCCACCCTTGTCGGGATTTGTCAAATTTGCTCTTAAAAGACTTTATTACACTCGAATTTATCACTTAATTAAGTGGAATTATCATTTTTCTCTATATACTTTGCTATTTTTTGCCTTGGTGTCACCCCCCTAAACGGTGTCACCCGGTGCGGTCCGCACCCCAGCCCCCCCCCCCCACCCCTTCGCTACGCCACTGCACATAGGCCTTTTTTATTTTTATCAATTCTATTTTTATAAAGATAACATACTGTGATAAGGTTAGACAATCCAAATTTAAGTTGACCCTTGTACATAGGCCTACTTTATTATCCGTTTCTCGGACGGCGTCCGTTGCCTGAATATTCGTAAATTAAAAAACAATAGGCCTACTCAAGTTGAAAAGTGTGTAACAATCAAATTCCAAAATAAAAAATAAATATCCGGTGTAACAATCAGTTTCTTTTATTTTTTTCGAAATAGGTGGGGGCTGGAAGCACGTGAAATATTAGGGGGTTGCACATGGGAAGGGGGCTGACACAAGTTAGCTATATATTTTGAATTAACATCTAGGCTATTCATTGCATGGCGGGGAAGTGGAGTGCTCCGGGGCATCCCCATCCCACCAGTGTTTCTTCCAGACTTTTTTCTCCGGGGGGGGGGGGGGGCTCTTGAGTTTTTAGAGGGGGGGGGGGTGGGCGGACACTGTTAAAAATATGTTTTCTATATAAATTCCATTTCGTTCGGGGGGCGGGTCCTTCCAGATGCCTGGAAGAAACTCTCCATGTCTCCATCCCACCCGAAGATATGCCTGAAAAAAAAAACATTGGTAACAACTGAACGCTCCAATGCAGTATTTAGCTTGTCAGCGGCCGGTGACCCTATTAACCTTGTCAATAAGGACACTCGGCAGGCGGTGAACCGGGACTTTTCTCACCTCCCGTTTCAGTCTGGTCTTGAGTTATTTGCTCTCCAAGCTATATACAGTCTAGAAGCTTTCATAATGTGTAGTGTTCTCAGCACAACAGAATAAAGCAGCTCTGGGATCTATCTGAAGGTCAGATCTTTATTGTCATGCTGAAAAAATAAATTACAGGTTAGGAAAAGAATAGAAAGAAAAATATAAGTGGGGAGAATTAAGCCCTATGTGACTTTAATTGTAGAGAGTTCTCCAGTGTTAAGGATTTTAAGATAGGCCTTCGCTGATCACACGGCAAGAAGATAAATGTTGGATACACCGCTTGAATACGTTGTTTGATATCCCCCCCCCCTTTTTTTTTCCTCCCAAATCACAAATGTAAATAAGTAGATAATTCAAATTTTATAGCAATCATCTCTAAATAAATATAATCCATTTTAACTGAACAACAATCGTTGACCGAAAGCTTTGAAAAGTTTTTTTTTAGAAAATTGGGAGTTAGCCCAGCTGGAAATAGAGAACTGAAATTTAGCTCGTGATTACCAGATGATTGTGTGGGCCGCCAGCTAAAGATCTCCAACAAGCTTTGTTTTACAGGTCCGGATTGTTAGCCCGGAGTCAAATAATGGGAATCCCATTTCAGCTGCAGATCTTGGTCCACCCTGGTCAAACACAAACACAAATAGCCTATTTATAGCATATATATATATATATATATATATATATATATATATATATATATATATATATATATATATATATATACATATATATATATATAGATAGATAGATAGATAGATAGATAGATAGATAGATAGATAGATAGATAGATAGATAGATAGATAGATAGATAGATAGATAGATAGATAGATAGATAGATAGATAGATAGATAGATAGATAGATAGATAGATAGATAGATAGATAGATAGATAGATAGATATATGAATATATAGATACTAGCTGCATCCCGTGCTCCGCCACGGTAAATCTTTTTTAAATGTACCAACTTGTGAACAGAACAAAACTAAACACAACACAAACGAACGCAAAAAAAACAAACGAAAAAACAAACATAACACTCATAACATAAACACAATTTAAATGCAATAAAAAAGGCATATTGCTCACAGTCTAGCCCGTAGCGCCAAATCGCGCCCTTCCCGAGCGCCGCCGGACGCGTCTGACACAGTGAATGACTATAAAACAGAGGCGTAGCGACCCTTTCCGGCGCCAGGGGAATAACTTTCGATTTGACTCCCCCCCTCAAACTTACGATTTGCACCCCCTCTCCTCAAAATTTCAATTTCCACCACCCCCCCCTTTCCGCAAATTTTTTCCAACCCATTTTGGCGCCCCCTCAGGTCGGCAACCGGGGACATATGTCCCCCCCCCCCCACTCTACGCCTCTCCTATAAAACCCCCAGCAGTATTTAAAATATCCGTGTTTTACCTACCATATTATATCACTTTATCAATTCACGCATTTTTCCCCCAGTACTTTAAATTTTAAAAATTTACAATAGTTTCATAACTAAAACCATTGCGCACCCAATGAACGTGATGACGCGTCTATAATAGTGCTTAATAGTTGATTAAAAATTATAAGTAGTAGACATTACATTCAGTGGATAAAATAAATAAAAGATAGCCTTTTATCAATCAATTCTAATTATAATATTCCAACAATAATGTACTCTTACACGTCTGCATAATTTGTATTCACATTTTTAGATTGAGTTCAATTTATTTTTAAAATACCTCCCTTGGCATTATTACTAAACAGTTTAATTTGATTTTTCTACCGTACTGTTATTATGTTATTAAAATGTATCCACTTTTTCAAGGAATATTAACAAAAACTATATTTGACATTGATCCTTTTAATATGTTTTAGCAATGTGCGTGTATTTAATATTCTCTTTACGTTATGCAAAATTGTACAAACAGTGGAAATTATAAAATAGCTCTATGCCACTATATAAACAAACCCTACTCTATTAATTACAATAAGACACTGCGGTGCACTGAAAAGCACTGCGTGGTGCGAATGTTTACTTTTATGGTTCTAAAAGCTATAGCGATAACAGAAGGAAGGAAGGAAGGACTGACACACGCTCAGCCCGCTTATATTATAGACTAGCTGCATCCCGTGCTCCGCCACGGTAAATCTTTTTTACATGTACCAACTGGGGAACAGAACAAAACTAAACACAACACAAACGAACGAACGAAAAAAAAAACACAAAAGAAAAAACAAACACAACACTCATAACATAAACACAATTTAAATGCAATCATAAAGGCATATTGCTCACAGTCTAGCCCGTAGCGCCAAATCGCGCCCTTTCCGGTGATTTGCACTCCCCTCAAACTTTCGATTTGCACCCCTTCCCCCCCCCCCCCGCCCTAAAACTTTCGATTTCCACCACTCTCCCCCCCCCCCTCGAAATTTTTTCCAACCCACTTTGGCGCCCCCTAAGGTCGG